ATTTATTGCCAGCTGGCTGCCAGGACACGTGCATCAGGACACACAGCAACAACATATGACCACCAGGCCCATTGAGACTGATGATGGCGCGAACCGTTGCCAAAGTAACTCAGTGGCAATCCCCATTCGAGATCAGCAGCAACTGCAACTAAAACTAATCAAGGCAGCTGCATCAACTCTTCTTTTTCTGCTTCTGCTTCTTCACCATCATCTCGCTGTTGTTCAGTCACAACTTACGAGCTTGACATTGAATGCTGGCCAAAGACGAAATAACTGAGCACTCAGCTAAAAAGCCTGGTAAGCTTGCACATGTCCTTTTGAAAGGAATCCCTGCTCATTACGCCTAAGACAATATTTCAGTGTAACTCATTTTAAGTTTCTTTGCCTTCCTCTTAGTGTATATATGACTTGGAAACAAATTAAGTTAACACGGTAAGCTAATTTCAGCCAGAGCCAGAGCCAGAGCAGCAACAGGTTGCAACAGTAGCTTATTCCACTTGCACTCCTGTTGTGCCAATCATATAAAGCTCCGAGTGTTTAAAGTTCAACTTTCACACATTGCATACATTGGCAAGAACTACATTCCCAATTTTTCAAAGCTCAATAGATGGTATATCTGCCTGCAAGTTTACTCTGTAGAAATATTCAAATTTATGAGTTTTATATTATTTTCCCTACTTTCAGACTATAAGTTTAACATCATACTGAGCCGCAGCGGCTGTATACTCTGTCGATTTTATTGGCTCTTTAGCGGGTGCCAGCTGAATTAGCTTGTTTATTTAAATTTAAATGTCCCATAGATGGTACTCTGAAAAGAGCGTGTGGCGCCATCTAACGTCATCTAATTTGCACTAAATTGACAAATCTATCGATAGCTACGACAACCATCGCCAACCGCCACAACTATCGACATGAAATAGAATCGATAGTGCGAATTTGAATGGCAACAGACAAAAACAATAAATTAGTAGTATATAAATTTCAATATATAGCCATTAAATCCGAGATAAATTTCAGATAATAATAGCTGAACATAGAAGGCAGAATGAAGATAAGCAAACACATATATATATACATACATATACAGGTTATTGAACTTAATTTTGTTAATTGGGCTCCCGTTTTTCTCTCAACTGTGGCAGCACACAGCGACCCGCAAATAGAATGGCTTTACTATTGCGCACGAAGAAGACAAACGGACGATCAACCTTGAATTGCTTCTGGTGCATAATCATGCTCATGGGCACAATTTTAAGATCTGTGAAACAGACAAAACGATATATAGACTACATATGTACCGGGAGACAGAGTTGTCTATATATGTCTTACAGGTAGCAGCTGCTGCCTCGCAGCCCGCCTCGTTCACATCGATGAAGCCCCGATGCTTAACAGCTGAGATTTTCTGGCCTGTGGCGTCTTGGAAGAGTCGACTCAGGTCTGCCGCCTCGCCAAACAGATCACAAATGCCAAGCTATCAAAATAAGAGATAATGCAATAGATAAGCAACACAAATAGAGATGAGATATATTTGCATCATCTACCAGCATCAGTGTCTCTGTTAGCTCCAAGTCGAATTCGATGCAAAATCTGGGCAAAGTTATTTCCACATCCACCATGTGCATGCGCTGATCAAGATCCGCAAGGTCAACTTCGCCTAGCCGATGCTCGAGCTCGAGTAGGCTGCTGGTTTCATTGGGCAGCATTATGAGCAGCTTGATATCGGAATCTTCAAAGGGCAGCTCAATGGCCCGCGCGTGCAGCTCAGGCAGCTCGACATATTTGAACACATCCTCCTGGTACATCATATCCACCTCAACTCGTCTCTGCTGATCGATGCGGAAGTCGTGCCGCGTTGTGCACTCCGGTGTGAAGGGCTTCTTGAAAAGGCCCTTAAAGTACAGGACATTCACAAGCACGGCGCTTGTCTCCGCATCAACCACATTCGGCTGGAGGAGATCTCGTATCTTGTGTTCCGTTGCCAGCTCGACCATCTCGTTGATCTGCTGCGTGGCTCCAGTCGAATCGGCAAAATTCAACGCCACTGGCTTATAGTTAAAGTACTCCTCCGCCATTTGGTTGAACTCCTGCTGCACGCGGAGCTTTTCATTCACAAACAAATGATTCACGGACTTTAGTGTTATCCGTTTGCCTTTGCTGCTCAGCTGCGTCCACAGCGCCTTATACCAGCTCCCGATCTCTTGTAGATCGCCGGGTCCCAGGCGCAAGCCCGTGCGCAGCTGCTCAGCCGTTCTGCCCGCCGCACCCACTAAGGCCAGCATCAGCGAGGTTTGTATTGAGATGGGCGAGATGACGGCATTGCAGCCGCGCCCCACGACACCTTTTTCAAATGCCGCCGTGTACAGCTGCCGGGCAAAGTCGCTGCATGCATCTGGCCTCGGGCTCATCTTCCTTAGCTTACACAAACGAAAATGTAATAGAAACAAAAAATTGAAGATTTTATTGGATAATTTAAAGACTGACTATGCCTGAAGAACTTTCTCTTCGATAACCAAGATCTTAAATCAGTATAATTGAATTTACTAATGGCATTTTGACTCACATTATAATTAATAATAATAAAACGCTTTTACTGCATATAAATTCTGGTAAAATCGAAAGTGAGGCAAACCGATCAAGGGAACAGAATGTTGAATAGCAGGCCCAACCGACTCGACATGTAATACAGTAAAGACTAACCTCCATACCATACGGAGTGAATCAGACATCAATTGTTATTCGCTATGCGAGATAAGATAAAGCTGAAATACTGAGCAGTAAGAGCAGACCGCCTGGCTATCTCTGAACTCCTTGCTCCTATTTAACAGTTATCTCTAATGAACTGCAAAGTGAGAGGTCCATAAATTTAAATTCGCCTATCAATCAAAGAGCAACAGTTGGCTTAAAATTAAAAAGAGTTAATCTCTTTAGCTAATTATATTAGCACCTAACAGCATATAAACTGAAATGAAAGAGACAATAAAATTCAAATAGGAACTGATTCAAATTCTCATTGCCAAACAGTGAGCAGAACAAAAATCGCAGCTGATAAGGCTCTCTTTACTTTAGCGTGGTTTGTTTTGATTATCAATTCAAAGTGCCTACCGATGAGAAAGAGAGAGGCAGAAAGAGAGGGATATAGTTGAAATAATCCAATAAAAAGTTAATATAAAAACAAAAACATTGCTTAAAATTGGGGTTTTTCTTTCAAATTGCTGCTTATCAGAATACATGTATGTATTTATTGTATGTATGTATATTATCATTGTTTTCAAAAGATTGCAAATAACAGTCTCATTTTGAGTTGAAGCTGCTGATAAGCAGACAAATAAGATTATTAAGCATTTGTCTTTCAGTTTGAATCACACGTTCGTCGCGTTTGTGCGCCAAAATACTTTTGCGGTGTTATTTTAATAGAAATCATAAGTCAATCCTAAACCCACACAAGCAATTAAAATGCAGCAAGTTTCTATATTACACGGTAAGTCAAATTAAATGTACGAGCAAAAGCACCTTACTCATAAAAGAAAGAGTGTGCTGAAAGAGCACGCACAAGTAGGCGCAGTTAAAAAAGAGCACGCTGTACGCAACAATAGCAAAGGAATAACGGACACGTTACATACACATACATATATACATGTGCTTAAGCTGAGCTCGCACAATAGCTAGTGAGTGTGTATTGAGACTGACACGCAGTTGTCAGCAGTGCTGCCATTTGTTGGAGAGCATGATCTAGCTGGAAAGGAGTCAAATAAAGATGAATGGAAGATTCTAACATTATTTTAGATATAGTGCGAAATAGAGTTTATGGCCGGGCTACTCTCGGTCCCGGCTCACAATTGTTACATTGCAAAGTTCACTCGTTCAGCCAAGGCACATTTAGGTTCCACAAACTGAGGAAGTGCCATTTTACTTGTGTGTGTGTGTGTGTGTGTATGTATATATATTAGCCTTCTTATTTTACACTTTATTATTATTCTTAGAAGCCCCACTTAAAATTTGTTTGATCTACATTGGAGTTTTTTTCAAAATGTTATACCACTGGTTGGTGCTCATTGGAATGATTCATTTCATCATTTTCTTTGTCGCAGAGCTTTATTAAAAATTACCCGTTATATTGCCTGCGCGCGGGTTAGAATGTGAAATCGCAACTGAGACTCGGTCGAACTGGCAGTGGATTTATATAGGAACAGAACGAGGGAGAAGAGCATACATATCCTACTCACACTTATGCTTAGCATATTTTCATACAAAAGTAGTAGAGAGTGAAATGTATACATATGTATGTAGATATAACAATCTGAAAGCACTCACATATGCATAGCTCAGAGAGCTTGCAATTGAGTGGGAAGAGAGAGAGAGAGAGAGTGAGATCTAAACATTTTAAAATGCATGAATGTGCATATGTGGCAAACAGAAGTAGCAGAGAGTAAAAAGTTTTAAGAGAGAAAAGCCGGCAATTGTGTGATGCCATACATTTGAATGCAGTACACGTATATAAACGGCGCTTCGAACGCTTGCTTTTAGATGAGGGAAAAGAGAGTCGTATCCAACACAAAGAGCAAGCAAAATAGAGGGAGAGCGTTAGCAGATAAGTATCCAAAGCGCACGCACACATGCACAGGTTTATATAAACAGCAAAGAACAGCGCGCTTGCCTTCAGTTGGTGCTCAGACGCCTACCTGTGCAGACTAGGAGGGGACTCGCTGCTCGTCACTGAGAAACAAAATAATTGAATAAATAAATCACACAGTTCGCAATTTAGAAAGCCGCACTCGCACAAGCCAAAGGAATTTGTCACTCGTGTTTAGGCGATAACAACAACTATCAAAACGGCTAAACAACACCAGAAAAACATACTGAACAACAAACGACGAGGTGACTCATCGACTATAGTGGGAATTACATAAAAAAATTTGAACCATTCGCAGTTGATACATTATTGAATCTCTGACATCATTCACAATATTTTCAGGCTGCGTGAACAACTCGCTGTTGCTGTTTCTGTTGCTGTTGTTGCTTCCGAACTCGTTTGCCCAGCAAACGAAAATCATGTCCAATACAGAGGGAAGCAATCTGGCCGAGTTCTCCCAACGACTCGCTGAATTTTCCAACAACTTGTATGGCAGTCTCATTGCACTGAAGCCCAACACGAATGTCGTCTTCTCGCCCTTCTCGATACAAACCTGCGCGGCCATGGCTCGCCTGGGAGCCGAGGGCGAAACCGCCGCCCAACTGGACCGCGGCCTTGGCTTGGTCTCCAGCGATCCTCAGCAGATAGCCGAGAGCTTCCACCAAGTGCTCGCCGAGTACGAGAAGAGCTCCATATTGCGCATCGCCAATAAGATCTACGTGAAGCAGAACTACGAGCTGAATGACGACTTCAACCGCCTGCTCTCGAAACAGTTTCTGTCGGCGGCAGAGAACGTGGAGTTCGCGCACAGCGTCCAGGCGGCGGGCATCATTAACGCGTGGGTGGAGCAGCAAACGAATAAGCTGATCAAGGATCTGGTGCCACCTAGCCTGCTGGACGCGCAGACGCGCCTGGTGCTGATCAATGCGATTCACTTCAAGGGCAACTGGGTGCACCAGTTCCCGGAGCACGCGACGCGCAATGAGCGATTCCATTTGAATGAGGTCGAGGGCGTGGAGGTGCCCATGATGAATGTCAAGGAGCGCTTCCGCTACGCCAACTTGCCTGACCTGAACGCCGCCGCCTTGGAGCTGCCCTACAAGGACTCCAATCTGTCCATGCTAATCCTGTTGCCCAACAGCAAGACGGGCTTGCCGCAGCTGGAGCAGCAGCTACGCGGCACGCCCCTCTCCAAGATCACCGAGCAGCTGCAGAGCAACCAAGTGGTTGTCAAGCTGCCCAAATTCAAAGCCGAGTTCCAGGTGGAGCTGACGCCCGTCTTCGAGCAGGTGAGCAGGTGACTTCTGTCCTGGCGCGTGTATGTGTATGTCGACGCCTCATCTACTTGCAGTTGGGCATGACGCGCCTCTTCTCCAACCAGGCCGAGTTCGGCAAGATGCTGAAGAGCCCCGAGGAGCTGAAGGTCTCGGCTATCATACACAAGGCCTTCATCGATGTCAATGAGCTGGGCACCGAGGCAGCCGCTGCAACGGGTAAGTTGAGCCACTCTCCTATGGGCCTCGCTTTGTGCATCCTCATCCTCCGCACCACCTTGCACACCTCGTCTGCGTCTCTCTGTCTCTCATTCTGTCTGTTCTCATTGCTAGCCGCCGTGGTGCGCATGAAGCGAAGTGTCATTTCGATTGAACAGCCGATCCAGTTCCATGCCGATCATCCATTCATCTTTATGCTGAACCACAGGGAGCAGCTGCCCCTCTTTCTGGGCGCCGTCGTTCGACTCGATGCCGCCGCAACAACAACAGCGACAGCCCAGCGTGACGAGCTTTAGCAAGGGCATAAGCAAAGTCAACGAGCAGAAGCTGCAATTAGAGTTAGACTTATTTAGAAATCTTTACGGGTATTTTTTGTCAAGTTAATAAAGGGCCAATCGAAACTCTTTCCCTCTCTCTGTCTCTCTCTCTCTCTCTCTCTCTCTCTCTCTCTCTCTCTCTCGCTCGCTCTCTGTCTCTGTCTCCAAGTCTATCCTCCGCTTCTGTTCGCTTATCTAATCACGACTCTGAATTGTAAATTAATGTTCAATTGGTTTATAAATCTCATTAATACCCCAGCTACCGTTAGAGTAAAATGCTGTTCATATTTAATCTATAAAGTAGATGATAAACTTTATATATAGCATTGATTTAGTTCTTTCTTTTCTAGTCTAATTATATGAACTGCTTAATAATGCTAATATTCTATAGGCTTCTTTTCTTAGCTATCATCAGCCTAAGTCTAGTCTTCGACTATCGTATATCCATCTCATTTCATCTCTCATATCGTAATTATATGGGGTCTTACCTATCTATTCTCTTGTCTTTAATCTTCTTATTTTGGGCAGCTATCATCATGTGTCGCTTAACATCTTGTATGCTCGAGCCACCACCCATTGAGTTCCATGTGAACCGTCCATTTATCTATTATATAGCCAGTAGAAAGGGCGTGGTGCTCTTTGCGGGCAAAGGGCAACAATTTTAATTGGATTATATCTATATTAATATATTGTACAACTTTTGTAAGCACCATCAGATATTTGTATTACTGCATGGTTTAATAAAGTTTATAAAGTGGAACATTCCAATCAATCCTCCATAAATATCCCCAAATTCAATCCTGCAATCGTCATTCACTGTGCCTCATCTATGCTTTGTCTTCTCATTCATTCGTATAGCTCTTCCAGTCATGTGTGAAATGATGATCATCGAACCGGATCCCATTTATTTTGATGCCGTTCATCCATTCCTCTATTACATAGTCAATAAGGACGCTGCGCCGCTGTTCGCTGGCAAAATTCAAGCATTTTAAGAATATTTATTCAATTTCATTTAAGATTTTCTATTCTATATGAATAATTGTGTATATAAATCGGTATATTTTCCTGTTTAAGTGTCTCTTATTGGCTCTACATTTGATATTCCGCAATAAACTGCTTTCTATGCAGATTAATGTGATCTATTCCTTGTTTACTTTTGCTTAGACTCTATCTAGTAGTATCCATCATTATCAATCATCATCATAATCATTGCATTAGAGCTCCAATATCATTTCAGACTTGGACTAATCGTGTGTGTTTTTTGTTCTTGTCTTCCGTTATGTCTTCTCTTCTTATAGCTATGGTCATGTGCTTTGCTTCGATGCCCATGTTCCAGCCGGAACCCATCCGATTCCATGCCGATCATCCATTTATTTATTACATTGCCAACAGGCGGGGCGTGATTCTCTTTGCTGGGAGCTTCGCCAGACCCTAAACAGCATCTTCGATCTCGCGAACCCTAATAGAAACCAAATGAAACATTTCGAATTTAAGACTGCGCACGATGACAATTTATGGCACTAAAAACTATTTTTATACTAATCCAAGCATGTTTTATAATAAACAAATAATTATCTATATAAGTGGGTCAATATATCTATCTGTATGTACATACGTATATCTAAGGGCATTTGTACGGCTTGTTCACAGTGTTTCGCATCATGCCCGTAATGGCAATCCGACGCAAGAGATTCTTTGCCACACATCCATTCCTCTACCTGATCAAGTCGCAGCGCAATCTGATACTCTTTGCCGGCAGGCATTTGGGATGAATAATACTTTAGCAGAACAAAAAGAAATATTTTGATATTAGCATAAAATAAATGGATAAATGAAAGCCAACGAAATAATGTGTTTGATTGATGTAATGATTGATGAATATAGCTGAACATATATGGAATATAGCTGAACAATATCTGCGATCAAATTGTCTAAAATTCAAGATCAAGTTTCTACAAATCGTAATCGCAATTTCTGTAATACAATTTTATTCAAGTCTTAACATCTCTACCAATTTGGACTTTGACAACATGTGCATATAATATTTTTCATTGATATTTTATTGTATTATTATTTTTATTTTTATTTTTTTGTGTAAAAGCTATTGAAGCGTTGCATTCCGGCACGCAATCGCACAATTTAATAAAGTGCAAAAGTTGAGGAAAATGTTTCAGTAGATCTTAAAACGCATATCAAGATGCACTTCTTGATCTTCAGTGCTTTGCTCTGCATTTGTAGCTGCAGCTGGGCCAATGGGTCGAATACGCAATTCAATTGTAAGTTGAGCCAGGGGTGTGCAAGGCTCCGCTTCTGACTCCGTCCGCGTTTCTCAGTAACTCTCTACAGACAAATGCCCCCCTTGCATCAGCTGGACGACTACGATCTGTGTCTGCAGCAGCGGCCGAGTCAGCTGCTGGCCCACAGCACCTATTGCCTGGTCTACGTGGAGCTGAGGCCCAATGGGAGCTCCGAGCTGTGGCAGCAGATCGAGCTGGTGTCCAAGGATGCGAAGCATCACTACAGACACGATCGTCTGTTTGTGGGCGTTTGCGTGGAGCGCTGCAAGCGTTTGCTGCACACATTGGCCAGATTTCAGATACAGCAGCTGTACGGGGGCAAGGTCGAGGACCAGGAAGTAAGTGGAATGACCTTGAGATTGACTCAAAGCTCCTAATGAACAGGTAAACCATTAGCTCAGCAGCCACTACGCCAAGGTGCACCGCAGACCCTCCGACGAGCGCCTGCACTACGATCATCTGATCAACAGCTGCCTGAACAAAGAGCTCGGCTCTAGGTATCAGCTGCGTCTGCGCAGCAGCATCGAGTACTGCGAGCGAGCGAATGAGCCATTGGTGCACGGTGAGCAAGAGCAATGACAAGCAAATTTTGATTAAAAATTTTAAATTTCGATATATATATAAAAAAAAAAAATATAAATTTATTTAAACTGGCTGAGATTTGAACCTAGGACTTAGCCGCTGGCCTGTCACACTCTCTTCCACTGCGCCACGCATATAAAGCGTGGCTGAACTCCTAATTTAATACTAAATTAAAAATGACTATTAATATGTATTATAACTGAAATTATAATTAAACAAAAATTATAATCTAAGCAAAAATATAAAAAAAAAAACATAAGTAAATAGGAAAATAAAAATAAAATTGAATAACAAATTAATTAATGTATATGTATGTAGCTAGACTCGAACCCAGGTCTTTGCGCTCAGTCAGTCGATCCTTTTTATGAATAAATGAACAAATAATAAATAAATAAAATAAAATAAATGAACAAGTAAATCATAATAATGATGAATTTTAAACACAAAGCAAAAATAATGAAGTAAACAATAAAAAATTAATATATTTCCTATAAAATATTAGCCTAAGTCTCACCCTCACACACTTTAGGCATTAATTAAATACTTTTTATTAAATATCAAATCCATTTCAGATGCCCTCGATGTGACTGTCTATGCGCTGCTCGCTCTGCTGCTGCTATTGACCGTAGTCTCTACCAGCTACGATCTTAGCTTGAAGCGCAGGCAGCCGCTGACTAGCGCTGCGCGTGGGAATCTCTTCTATCAGCAGGCGCTCAAGACAAGAGGTGGGCTTAGGTCTATGAATGTGTATATATATGAAAAGAAGGCGAGAGATTATTAGCCCTGAGTCCTATTGCTTCTACTCGCCCACAGCTCAACAGTTTCTGTGCTGCTTCTCGCTCTGTCGCAACTATTATCGTCTGATTCGGCCCCCTAACAGCGATTTCTCGCGCGATCTGCGTTTCTTCGATGCATTCCGTGTGATTGGAGTATTTGTCGTAATCCTGGGGCACACTTTGATGATCTTTATGACGCTGCAGCTGCAGAATCCCGAGTTCTTTGAGCTCTATTTGTACAGATTCGAGACGTCCTTGTTTCAGAATGGAAACGCAGTCATCCAAATATTTTTCGTAATGAGCGCATTTCTGCTCTACGTCAACTTTACGGAGCGAGAGTGGATCAACGGCTCCTCCAGTGTGCTCACCTGCATCGGAGTTTACTTTCGTGTATTTTTCAATAGGTACTTCCGACTGTTGCCCTCGTTAGTTCTGCTGATACTCTTCAATGGATCCCTGCTGACTCGACTGGGCGATGGTCCCTTCTGGCGGCACTTGACAGAGGCGGAGAGAACTTTTTGCCGGGAAACCTGGTGGAAGAACGTATTCTTTATCAACAACTATATGCTGCAAGAGAGTGTAGGTATTACACTTTGAGAAAAACCTTGTTAGTGTTATAGGGTTATTTTCCTTCATACACATTTGTTCCAGTGCGCTCAGCAAACCTGGTATATGGCAGCCGATATGCAGCTCTTTGAGCTGTTTCTAATAATAATTATCATAACAAAAAAGTAAGTTGTTTGTCATTATGGAGAGCATACTTTTGGAACTACCCTCTTGCAGGCATCCAGCATTAACTAGATATATCTATGCATTGCTAATTATCGCCATATTCGCTGTGCCTGCTTCGATCACATATTTTTTTAGCCTGGATGCTGTCTATCACATGAAGCCAGAGTGAGTTGCACACGAAATATCCCAAAAAATATATTATATATATATAAATTTGTTTAAGCAGAACCTATCGGTACTTATATTTTCGCAACTCGGAGACGTTCGACCGCATATACCCGCCTTTCTACACAAATTTGGGCGGGTATTTCATGGGCTTTCTGTGCGCCCAATTCTATTTGAAATTTCGACCTTTGCCAGAGGCGAAGAGCTCGAAAAGCAAATGGCAACTGGAACTAGGTCTGTGGCTCTTGGTCTTGGCTATTCTGCTTATTCTCTTCTCTGGCTATATATTCATTAAATTCGATTTTGAGAAGCCTTCCATCTGGCTGGCCCTCTATGCCGGCGTCTATAAGAATTTGTGGATTCTAACCTGTGCGGGCTTTGTGTGTTGCATGTGCTTTAAAGTGGGCTGTAAGTGAAGAGGACTTTTCTCTTTTAATTTTGTCACTCTCTTAATACTGACTCTTCTCTCTTTTCCTTCGCTCCTTGCAGGGCTGGCGTATGAGTTTTGCTCTCTTTCTGTGTTTCGACCTCTGGCGCGCATATCCTTTCAAGCGTTTCTTTGGCATGTTTTTGTTCTACGAGTTATCGCTGGCTCTTTCCGACAACCTGTTTATGTAAACAGTTTCTTTTTGGTATGTATAGAAACATATTACTAACCTGCAGGATTCTATTTTAAATTGTTTTTCTTTCAGTTTCAATACGTTGTTCTGGCTTTTGTGCTTACGCAAATTGTTGCTTTCTTTATGGCGCTCCTATTCGAATATCCGCTGATAGAGCTATTTAAACTGATCATGATGCACCACAAGACATCCAAACAATCAACAAGAAGCTTTCAAATCAATTTGAATGCACGTTAAAGTTCATTTTAAATAAAGGATAGCGTTAATTCATTGGTATAACTAAAAGTTAAACAAACATATATTTTTGTGTGTGTTAGTCACTCTCATTGCTCAGAGTTGAGAAAGCGGCAAAAATAATCAAAATACTACAAAAATAATTACTTATATTTGAAATATTGTCAAGTATTAAATAGTTAGGGTGACCAGCGGCAAATTTTTAATTAGGTATTGTAGTATTTGGTATTTTTTGATTTATACAGTATTATTCCACTCTGCTAACTGCGGTCACACTGCCTGGTTGTTCAGTTTTGTTTTCTCTCGTCTCGCTCGTCGGCGTTTTGCTACGTTTCGTCTGCTCGGTGTTACCGCAAATTCTTAAAACAGTTCACAACAATAGTGCGAAATTTTAAATTTCTCCAATACTCAATATACGACAAGTGCTCAAGTGCCCTAGCATAAATGCTAAATTAAAGTGAGTGTTTTAAATTTGTGTGTGTGTGGGTATATTTTATTTTGGTGGAATTTCTGTTCTGCGGCAACTTTGGCATTTCAAATACAAATGTCAATGAATCACTGTGGCACTTTGTATAGCTAACCATCAAGTGGCAGTCATTTGATTTAATTTATTAATCATATACAAGTAATTTAATAATCAGCTTACATTTAAATAATGTACGCGCGTATTACAAAATCATTCAAAATCACGGCAAATAAAATAAGTGCGACAATTGTGATAGTATGTGTGTGTTTGTCTGCATGTGTGTGTATGTGTAAGTACGTGTGCTTGTGTGTGTTGCCCGCGCGCTTGTGTACGTGTGCGTGTGCTGAGTGGTGAGCGCAATGCATGTGAAGAGTGCAGCTATAAAATGTTGCCACATGCGCTCCCGCTCCCACACAGTGTTATATGAGTCGCAACACTCCAAAAAAGGGAATAAAAATGAGAAGCGTCTTGGACAGCGCCAACAACAAAAAGACCGAACGCCGAAAAATGTTGCAAAATGAAAGAAAAGCAAACAAAACGAAAGCAAGCAAGCAGCAAAAGATTTCTGCGTTTCTCGCCTCACACAAGACTCACACAAATACACTTATTTAAATTAATTGTTTTTATTCTTTCGCCTTTAGCTGTAATTTTCGTGTGTGTTTTGCTGTGGTTGCCGTTGCTTGCTCTTTGCTCTCACATTTTCCGGCTTGTTTATAATGTTCTGGTCAATAGCTGAGAGAGCGGCTGAAGCACAGAAAAGAGAGAGACGAGAGAGAGCGCCCAATTGTTGCTCTGAAAGCAACAAGTTAAATTGAAAAACAGTTATATGCGCGGGGGTGTTCCAATGAGTACAATTAGTTTGGTCAAGCATGTATACCCTGTAAGTTTGGCGAGTGGAAAAGATTAGATATATAATAAGCTTCTGATGCATATCATATACCATGAAAAGTGTGGCCAATGTAAAAAGTATTAAAATTATAATGGGCATCAGCATCTAATTTTGTACAAGTAATATAAATCAAAGTTTTTATGTAGAGTAAGCGCTAGTCAGTCCAACTCACTTAAACTACTCCTTAACTGTTTTTAACTGTGGGCGCATGCGATAAGCCGTAATTGAAATATTGTGGCAAGAAACGTGGCTTCAAGTTGGCCAAAGCATAGAATTACACACATTTCCAGCAGACAAACAGGCAGTCTCTTTCGCTCTTTATATGAGTGTGTTTGTATGTGGGACTGTATGGTTATGTGTGTGTGTGCGTGTGTGAAACAAGTGTGAAAAACAAACGACCTCCAGCAGCGCACGTCTGCGTCTGCGTCTGCGTTTACGTCTGTGGCGCTCTCTTAGAAAGTGTAAGAGCGCGTGCGAGCACGCCCCCCACGCATAGCTGTTGTCGCTGTAGTTGTTGTTGTGGCTGCTGCCAGGCGTTGTCCAAAAATGGGTTAAGCAACGTCGGCGAAAAAAGCAAGAAACGCAGCAAACGCCAATTAGTGACAAAATATAAATGAGAAACGCATGCAGTGTGTACGTGTAAGTGTGTGCGTGTGCAAAATATGTATGCAAATTAAATGACAGCCCACTCTGGGGAAAATTAGCAAATTTGAAGGCATAAAAAGTTTGTTACGCAAATATATTCGATTGGCTCAATTGTCTAATCTTTTTTATTTCAAATACATATATGTTTTATCATAATAAAGTGGAGATGCTATGCAGCAAAAATCTTTTATTGAAAGCAGTCGTAGTATAAATATTTTGTTGTTTGAATACGTCTTTGTTGTCCACAGTGCAGTGTCCAAATAGCAACAACAAATGCCGCCAGTCTGACTAAGCGTAAATGCGGCAGAAATAGCAACAAGTAGACGCGAAACGGAGAAGCGTCGTGCAATTAAGAGAGCAACAACAACAAGCGATGCATAGTTAAATTTAGCAGCCGAGTTCCACTTTCACTCGGCGGCGACACCGACACCCACCGATGTGCTCACCCTCCTCTCTCTCCCTTGCTCTTTCGCTCGTGCTTGAATTGCATGTTATTTGTATAGAGTGCGTGTCGTGATTTTTGCGTTGGCACGAATAGAAATGAATATGCGTATAGATAAATGTAAAACGCATAGCAAACTTGAAGCGAATTTGAATTGATTTTGTTAACTGCAGCGAGAAAAATAGAAATTAACGATATTCTAATTGATGATGATGCATTATTAGAGTGTTCGCCCAGTCACCACCACTCAGCATAGAGCACGCGCACATCTCTAGCGCTGTCAAACGTTTGTGCCAGGGCAGACACTTGCGCGCTTTTTGTCAAGATTTAAGTTAATCGCACAGGCAACAGGCAACATCAGCAGCAGCAACAACAGCGACAGCAGTTTGATGAACCTAAGTACAACAAGTCAGTCCAATCACGATGACGATGTATTTGCTGTTGTTGTTGCATGCCATTGGCAATTATAGTAATGCTTAATGACATCATCAGCCGCAGCGCAGCGCTGCAACGACAGCAACAGCAGCTGCACTCGCAGTATGCAAGCGAAAGTTTCCATGCGATGCTTGATGACTGATAAGCGCTGCACTTGCAGCTGCAGATGCTTATCAGGCAGTCGCGTCTGGCATTAATGATTCATTTGCCACCTACACAAATACATACATAAAACAAAACAATAATTATACACAGTAAGAAAATGTTAATGTGGCTTTCAATAAAAACGAATTGAATTAAATTCGCCGCACTTACAATGCAAATGCTTACTCACGGTTTGCTTGCATCTCTCTCTCTCTCTCACTTTTCTGTCATACAGGAAGTTTAAGAAAGACGTCAAATGACACTAGGCGAATTCATGGTTAATATTTATTATCGCTCTCCCTCTCTTAATTTCGCCCAGGAAGTTTATTTAAGCAAAGGAGTGGTCTAGTGGCAAGGCATGCGCCTCGTAAGCGAGTCTATGCTGGTTCGATTCCCGCCAGCTGTTTATATTGTTATGAAGCTTTAATTAAATGCTTTTACATTTTTATTTATTTTATTTTTTTCAATTTGTTTTATTTGTACTGTGTAGCACATATGTATGTATGTATATGTTATTGTTGTCATTGTCATTGTTAGTGCAATTGTTATTTATGTGTTGCTTATGACACATTCGCACCGCCCGTTGTCATCTAATTAGATGTTCGGCTTTATAACGGCCTGCATTAGCATTGTGCAGCAGCCAATTGGAGCGGCACTCCTTTGCGCTCTGGCCCCACTTGCCAGTTGCCCGTTGCTCGTTGCCCGTTGCCAGTTGCCACTTCATCCATTGACCGCTTCGCGTTTGTCATTTCATTTCTTACACACGATTGCATAGCACAGTGAAATATTACAACAACGCTTAATTGACGACTGCGACTGTGCCGTTCCCTCTCTCTGTCTCTCTCTCATTCACTCTCTTGATGCTCGCCCTTTTTGCGCTTTGGTTTTTTAAGTCACGCCGCCAAGCGGGGCAGCAAATGTTGTTAGTAATTAGAATTGGCCGCTGAACGTTTCGACAAAGCGTTAAGATTTGCAATCAAGCATTAAGTCAATTTGTGGCCACGTCGCAGTCGACGTCGCAGCCTCAGTAGCAGCAGCAGCAGCAGCAGCAGCGGCGCGTTACAATCATCAACTGATGAACCGATCAGCGGGCTGCATCGTAATGAGAAATGGCCTGTGGAAGTAAATGTTGCAAATGTAAACAGCATACAGTGCGCAACAGCAGTGAGGCTACTCTTAAACAGAGGAGTGCTAATATATATCAGTTTAGTTTAGTCAATTTAGTTTGTTGCATTTATTTACACTTATATATAGATAAATTGATTTCCAAGTAAACTTTAAACTTTGATTATTTGTAGTTACAGAATATTGTATTATTTGCTTTTCCGGCAGCTTATCTATTATCTAATCATTGGGTTTTTTTCTACCGCTAAACATTGGATTTGTTATGATATCTATATAAAAGATAGGCTGAAGGACAAGTAATTATGTGTAACCTAGTTGAACGTTAACTATTTGCAGTTACTGTTGCTATACACTCACAATAGAATAAAGCTAATGTGTGCATTAACTGATTGCAGCTAGTGTTCGATAGAACAGAAGCTTCTCTTTCACTTCTTGTCACTCTTTATTTCTTTCTCGAAAACTTTTTTATGAGAAGCAACTGTTTGACAGTTGAGCTACTCAGCAATCTGAAGCCTCTCTTTCACCTCTCTCTCTCTTCAACTACTTCCTCTCTTCTGTTGTGCTCCACCCGCAGCCCGCATTACGATATAACAAGTATTTCTACTGAATATCAACTTCCGTTATATGTATGCACACACATATACACATATTCATGCCCATATGTGTATATATGTATATTTTTATCGTTAAAGGAATGCAATGGCAAGAGCTGTCAAAAATGTTGCAAATGAATTAAAAATATTATGAACGCAAATTACAATGCCTCCCGCCCACTCTTTACCTCTCACGCTCCCTCTCTTTCTCCTTCTCTCTCTCTCTCTATGTCTCTATATGAAAATTGAATTTTAAGCAAGATGATTGAATTTTCTATTAATAACAATTTTTTTTTTTTTTTTGACCTTCGGCAGCTGTGAAATTTTATTCAAAAATGTTTCTAGCGAAGGTGTTCTTGAGGCGTAAATATATAAACATAATAAATAACACATACAAGAATCGATCTCTATATATGTATATAGTTATTTGTAGATGTGTGTGTGTGTCTGGGTAGAGTATATATCTATATCTATGGCCATTTCAAGAGCTCGATTTGTTTTTTTCTTTTTATTCTCGAGTGTGTGTTTTAGGCAATTCTATTTGCTGATAAAGTATATCAGCAGAACACGTCGATAATAGTGACTAAACTATATACGTATATATGCATGTATTGTATATATTTATATAAATACACACCCAGTTACACACATATACACAAACACACAATACTTTATAAAAATGTCAAAAGAAAATAAATACTTAAAATAGTTATATGCATTTACATAATATACTCTTATTCATATACATATGTATGTATGTATGTGTGTGTGTATGTGTACATACCTAAATATTTGTGCATGTTTATGATTCTTTAGCAGGTCAATGACAAATTCTCCATATTACTGTATAAGAACATAAATATACATATATGTGGAATATATGTGGAATACTTTGGGCATAAAAGAAAATATACGAATATATGGATTTCGACGAATAATCAATACCCTTTACTGAGACTAGAGACTTAAAATGTGGAATATATGCCCTTCGCTATTCTCGTTCTGTTTTTGACGATACAGAAAATAACTTTAATGAGTTTCTATTGTACATATCATGATATATATATAGTATATACTATATTATATACTACTTGGTATATACTATGTGAAATGTTGTTGAGAGAGCTTAGTAAACAGCATAATTGATGATTAGCTCAAAAACTCTACATATATGATCGATGACCCCTATTGAGAATACATAAATATATAGTATTAGTCATGTTTAGTATAGTCCACTAGTTCGGAATAGGTATTATTTCTATTAAAATGAGCAGAATTTAAAGCTCGATGAAGAGACAATACTAAGGAAAGCTGCATATATGTATTTCCCATATAACTAAAACCGACTTTTGCTTCACATGTTGCTTATGGAGTATGGTAGCCAAGGTAGCCTTTGTTAGTGTAGTGCATATTATAATTTAACGAGCGAGCTGACATTTTCTTTAGCTTCTTTCTGTTTCATTGTTTTCTGTTTCTCAAGTTTCGAGTTTTTCACTGATTAAAAACGAAAGCTTTGCCACATTTATGAGAGTTGAAACGGCGAGGGGCGAGCAGAGCGCATACATAGGTTATATCTGGCCCAACCCTAAAGACCCCAAAGAGTTGCGAATTGGCCGTTTGGAGTGAAGTTTTTTCTTTCATTTGGCTGTATTCTCTTTATGTGGCCATAATTCACGTGTTGTCAGCCAGCGATTCGTTATTTCAGCATTATGATGTCATATTATAAAGCAGCGCCTCGCAGCGTAGCTGCCTACAGTCCGATTGTTGTAATACCCAAGGAGTGCGAGTAATGACAGGGTAGCATGAGTGTGTGTGAGTAGTAGCAATAGTTCTTCTTTATATATATATTCTTGTTCAATGTATTTAGCTATAGCTAAGCAGCTTTGTCTGCCTATCTCCATCTCTTTCTACTACTAACCTGATTAAGCCATGAAGATCGATATAAAACTTTCGCATGGCCTTGCCTGCTTTGGCAACCAGAGTGAATATAGTTTGGTATGCAAAAGTATGGCAAATATTTCTCTATAATATGGAAATCCAAGTCTTTTGATTATTTTGTATAGCCTAAACTGATTGACATTTGAATGGGAGCTATAAAGATTTGATTAAAATGTGTGTTAATAGGCTGAAGAAGCTGATGTTTACGTGGTTATGTATGTAGACTTATTCTAGAGCTGATTTCGATATATAATGTGAGTTATATCTGGCAAATAATCAATAACTCTTTTCGAATATAATTAAACATAATTGCTATACTTTTGCATAGGGTAACTGCTAGTCGTTCACTTGTCTCTTACTCTCGCTTGTTTTATTCACTTTAGTTTCTAATTAACTTTTGATAATTGAACACGTTTCGCTGTTTCGTGGCAGGTCAGGTAGAAAGTGACGTGGGGAAAGTATTCTAAATGAGTTTTTATGTTTCCCACAGATCTATTTATACTTTGTTTTCTTTTAATCATATTATGTTGTCTCTTTTCTCTCGGTTTATGCAACATTTGCCATACAAAACAAATGACAACAAAGCTGAAAATGATGTTTGTTTTCGTCGGGTTAAGTCACAGTTAAACGGAGCTGCTTATTGATTGCCGTTTGCTCCACGTAATATGCTAATTTATTGAACAAATCGAGGTTTTGACACGGCTCGCAGCTAAGCGACAACTCGATTACAGAGGCGCCGTTTGGGGCAGGGTTTGCAATGTATGATAGGAGATTTGTTTGTATCTAATAATAGCTGATTGTGTAATCGAATACGCTTAATATTATAGTGCTTACAGAGCATTTACTTGGTTTAATGCTATTAACATGCTGTCAACTGTTAAATAGTAACAGAAATGTTACAAATATGCAGGTACTAACAGAGACTTAAAAGGGTTTATCTGGAAGTACGTATCTTATCAAAATACGCTGTTCTGTTAAAATATAAGTATACAGCAATTGATTTGGGTTAGGAATTAAACCTTAATTGCCTGAGGGTTACAGAGCTTGTGCATAAAGTTCTTGTGTCATTTCGAAACTTTGCTTGGAGCCTAGTGTCAAAACGATTCAATGATGTTTCATATTAAAGGGAATAGGCCTTCGTACCCCTGCATAAAACAGACGACGCAACCGACAACTCTTAGCGGTGCTGACGAAAAAACACGACTAACAAGCTCCATCTATTCATCTTATTTTTCACAGGTAAAAGAAAGCAAAACAAAACCCAAAGAAATACAACAACAACAACAATTAACAACAAATCCAATTCAAGCCTCAAGTGAACTGTCCAGAGAAATACAAAAACCCAGAGAGTGAAGCAGAGTTACTCACATAACGGTAGTTCCACGGGAAGCAGCGAAGCAGCAGAGGCGGGCATATAAAGAAAAAGAAGAAGAGGAAGCAGCTGAAGAAGATGTCATTTCGTGTTGTGCGCAGCTCAAAATTTCGTCACGTCTATGGACAGTCATTAAAACGGGAACAATGCTACGATAATATACGTGTATCCAAATCCAGTTGGGACTCCACATTCTGTGCGGTAAACCCAAAGTTTTTGGCCATCATTGTGGAGTCGGCAGGTGGCGGAGCCTTCATCGTATTGCCACACAATAAAGTGAGTATATTCGACAACAGAGACAACTAAGATACCCTGGAATAACTGAATACCCATGAGGGTAGCTAATAGAAGCAAGAGATTAGATAACTTTTCTGACTGCCCGCGTATATATAGAAAGTCTATATGTGAGACTCTGCAGTACACTTGTTGAAGTTTCTCTCTGATATGCCTCTTTAGGGTAGATTTGCATTTGACGTCAGTCTGAGCTCTAGACTATGCCCTTCTATTCAATTCTCAAACTCTTCGAGCTTATCTATGCTATCTATGTTAAATGCCTCTTCAAATTCTCTAAGTCTCTCGCAGTAGGTCAGTCAGCAGAGTCAACTTTTCAGCCTACCCTCGCTTGTACATATACCATTTGTAGATTTAGAAAGAGTGTGTCATTGTAAAGCTATTTATATAGACACAATGGAACCTCTATTTATAGGGTATTTGTGGGTTGCCATTTGTGGGCTTGTTGCCATGCTAGGAAGTGACGTCGACGAGCGGCTATTTTCTCTGTGCATGTATATACCCTGTAAATGCGGGTTAATGGAAAGCGGCTTATAGAGCTACGTGCATTACTATAATTCTTTAATTGAAGCCGTTGGAGCAGAAGCAAGTCGTATTTGGTCTTGAATCATATTTGTTGCTCAGTTATTCAGGTTTTAATCATGCATTAATCGACAACTGTTTAGCGCATGAACCAGCTGCGACACTCAAGCACAACTTATGGTTCATTAGTAGCTAAAATTAAAAATTAGTCGCCGCATAAACTCTGTTTTAGTTAGGGGAATGTACAATCAGCTAACTAGCAAATATAGATTAGATAGGTCGGCTCTTGATCTATATTGATCTTGACTTCTTCATCCTTTCATCCTGTGGCCTGTAGGATATCTTCTAGTCCATCAGTCTTTGGCCTTTTGACGTCTTGTCATGTCTGATGCTTTATAAATAAAGCTAGATCCTAGCATTATGAATTCTAGGCAAGCAAACCTCAACCCAACTCTTAAGAGAACTCTCACTCGCTCTCTCCCTTTCTCTCTCTCTCTCCATTCCGCTCTCGCTCTCAGCAATTCTCTTGGCTGGCTGCCAACATGACACATCAAATTGTCTAAATTTATAAAAATAAATTAAAAATTGCAAAAATATATATTGAATATATAGCAGCAGTCTCAGCCCCTATTTCTATCTATATATACATACATATATGTATATATGTATATCGTGAGTGAGAAGTTATTGAAATATTGCAAAATCGAAAAATGTATTGAGCGAGCATCCGCTCAGCTGTCTTCGCCTTCGCCATTTGTGTGGGTGGGCGTTTGCCTTAGCAACGCGTCTGATTTTTGGCCTGGTCAATTCTAATTGGGCCCAAATTTGTATGCAAAACGCGTTCCATACGAAAGTTTGTTAGTTTTATTTTTACTCATGCAGCAGCTGCTGCTGCGGTAGCCGCCGCTTTCACACGCTCTAAATTTGAATATTTTATGGATTTGGCTGACCTTAAATTCAATTTTCGGAGCGTGCATTAATTGGACACGATTAGCTGGTTGGATGGATGGAAAAATAGGATTCGAGGCAGAGGCGATATGAGAGAGAGAGAGAGAGAGATATGATACAAGCAAAATTTTGCAAGAGAAGAGATAGTGAAAGATCGAGATCCTGAGAATTCTTTAAAAGTGAGAATTCCGAACTTGATAAAGCTTATAAAGAAAACGATAACCACTTTAGTTTTGATCGATTATCAAAAACCTTATCGAATATCAGTTAAAAAAAAACTACATCATTAAAGCTAGAAGACTCGACCCAGATTACCGGAGAGAGTCTTAGATTGATCAAATATGACTTGACTACATCTTATTCCTTTACATCTCTCTTTCATGCTGCGTTTAGGTCGGACGCATTGCAGCGGATCACCCGCTGGTGGGCGGTCACAAGGGTCCAGTGCTGGACATCGCTTGGTGTCCGCACAACGACAATGTGATTGCCTCTGGCTCGGAGGATTGTGTGGTGAAGGTGTGGCAGATACCAGATGGCGGACTGTCGCGCACACTCACCGAACCCGTTGTGGATCTGGTGTTCCATCAGCGACGCGTCGGCCTAGTCCTCTGGCATCCGTCAGCGCTCAATGTGCTGCTCACAGCGGGCTCCGATAACCAGGTAGAGTTCGAGTCGAAGGTATCCAAGATCAGGACTAACATATTCACATCTCGCCTCATTTAGGTCGTCATCTGGAACGTGGGCACTGGCGAGATTCTGGTGCACATTGACTCTCATCCGGACATCGTTTATAGCGCCTGCTTCAACTGGGACGGCTCCAAGCTGGTCACCACCTGCAAGGATAAAAAGATTCGCATCTACGATCCACGAAGCGGCGAGCTGGAAAGCGAGGCGATGTGCCACGAGGGCTCGAAGGCGACTCGCGCGATCTTCTTGCGTCACGGCTTGATCTTCACGACCGGCTTCAATCGCAGCTCGGAGCGACAGTACTCACTGCGCGCCCCGGACGCGTTGAACGAACCCATTGTCATGGTCGAGCTGGATACATCGAACGGTGTGATGTTCCCTCTGTACGATGCGGACACAAATTTGATCTATCTGTGCGGCAAAGGCGACTCTGTGATACGTTATTTCGAGGCAAGACTCTGTGAGCTTCAGCTGCATTTGTTCTCTGTTGTTTAATTTGGGCCTTTGCTTTAGGTCACGCCGGAGCCGCCGTTTGTGCACTATATAAACACATTTCAAACGCCCGATCCGCAGCGTGGCATTGGACTGATGCCGAAGCGTGGCTGTGATGTAACCACCTGTGAAATAGCCAAATTCTACAGGCTGAACAACAATGGTCTCTGCCAGGTGATATCGATGACAGTGCCACGCAAATCAGATCTCTTCCAGGAGGATCTCTATCCGGACACACTAGCGGAAGATGCGGCCATCACGGCCGAGGAATGGATTGCGGGCAAAGACGCAGACCCGCTGACCTTCTCGCTAAAAGTAAGTGGCGTCAACTCCATAGATAATCGCTCCTGGCTATTCGGATAACAGCGTTGCCCCTGCAAGCTATGGCAGCTGCTGTTCATTAAAGAGAGAGCGTAAAGAGATCTATTGTAGATATGTTACAGAATTTTCATATATTGTAGTATATAAGAATTGTCCCTATGTTTGCGCTTGGCTAATATTTCGTGTTTTGCTTGCTGCTCGTTTCGTCTCGTCTGCTGGCGCCACATTTACTTGATCAACAGTGCTGGCAATTTAGTTTGCCCTGAACAGATCTAGCCTTTTTTAACCGTTTCTTGTTGCGGTCGATCTGTTGTGCTGTTGGGGCAGCACTGTCAAATACACAAACACACACACATACGAAGAGAGCCCATAGCTAAAGAGAGCTTAAAGCTTTATAACAGTATAAGCCAAACAGTAATGTATGTTAATGCAGCCTGTCTGCTCGCTTACACACACATGCTCACGCATACCTCACCTCACTCACACAGACACACGCTTACGCTTCTAACACGCACGCTGCGTGGCGCTTGTTGTTGTGTTCTTTGTTCTTTGTTGTAAGCCCATCAATCTGAACAGCTAACCTAATAAACCTAATCAGGATCGCGTCTCCATTGTACAGGGTGGCTATGTCTCCTCCGGCAACACGACGCTCTCTGTGAGCAAGAAGGCCAACATATTGAACAAGGCGTCCGCATCGAGAGGCGGCGGAGGCGGTCCGCTCTCTGGAGGCAATCATTCATCCGCGAATAACAATGATTCGAGTGATGCCAATCAAAGCGCAGCGATATTCTCGGTGAGTAATGCAGAGATATACCTGTACATACATGCATATGTAGCTGATGCTAATTAAATTCTTTTACTGCAGGAAAAGGATCATCGCAATATTTTAGATGAGATACGTAAGCTGAAGGCGATCATTGTGAAGCAAGAGAATCGCATTAGGGCCTTGGAGGCGAAGGTCAATGCAGCTGCTGGCGATGAGACGGATGCACGGAATAGCAATAAAAACGGCAGCGGAGCAGCGGCGGCAGCGGAAAGCAGCAGCAGCCAACAAGCGGCCAGCGAAAGTGCCAATGACCACAGCACAGCAAAGGATAATGCGCATGAGGATGACTAAAAAGAAGATAGAGAGAGAGAGAGAGCAAAAGCAGCTGGCACAAAGAGCGGAAGTAAGAGAGGGGAATGAAGCAGAGCCAAGCCGAGCAGAGAAAGCGAGAGAGGAAGCACAGAGAGTCGTGTTGGAATGCAATGGAATGATGATGTTTATTATTTTGTACACGCTCAAGAAGAGAGGAAATGGAAGAGAGAGAGAGCGCGAGAGTTGTCTTTCGTCTATGATTATGATTTTCAATTATTTATTTTATATAATTTTAATGTTAGGTCTTTGTACGAGCTAAATGGAAGAAGCAAAGGAATACACACAGAAAACACACAGAAAATCCTGCCAAAAAATTAAAAAGAAAACAGAATATATTGTTAACCTAACTAGCTGCAAAAGATCGTAACGAAGCATTAAGTCGAGCTGTGTTTTTCGTATGTGAAATTGTTGTAAATTTAACAAAACAAAACAAACAAAAAAAAGAAAAGAGAAAGAATCAAAGTATAGACTAAATTGCAATCATCTAAAAAGTAATGCTATTTCCTACCAATTTACACACAAATTACAAACTTTTCTATAAATATACATATAAATATTTATATATATATATATACATACATATATACATACATAACTGATTACCCCCTATTGAGGCAATATATATATATATATCCATGACAATAGCTTTTATAACAATTAGGCATCCGCGAAAATTTGTCCGCCGCTTTCATTAAACATTAAACAAAAAAACTTTTCTCGTTCTAACTAATAATAAGTTGTATTTTGTAATAATAAAAGAAAGAAAACCAACGAAACTATTTTCAAAATATTGAAGATTGTGCAACAATCAAAGAAAACAACAAATAAAAATAAAAATAAAATAATGTTAAAGTGCTGACTATAAACAAATCGCTGTATAAATAATTAAAAGTTTGATACAAAATAAATAAAAACAAAGATGAGATTTTGAAGTTTTTGAATTAATGACAGTTCAACAATACGGCCACTGTTTAGGACTGGTGCAACAATATATTGTACTAAAATATCGATAATATACTCGTACACGACACAATTATGAACCGAAGCAACCGTTGCCAGCAGAAACACAAAGTAATAAATTTTAATTATAACATTTGTGTCTCACTAAGTAGATTTACCTCAATGAGTTAAAAAACGAGCAACTGTCTAATTGTTTTAAAATTATTTCGTGCATATTCAAAAATCATTATTCAAATCATTTTAAAATTTTCAGCATGCTTCAATACCCACTACTGTTTGAGGCACCCTCGTAAATGCCATTCAGCGTAAACGCGCACATCTACTCAACTGCTGAGGTTCAGAAAGTTCATTTATCGATATATCGATACATTTCGTTAAACACTACAAAAGCCCAACATCGGCTGCTGAACGATTCATTCGTGTTTTCGTCGTCGTTCGGTTAAACACATAGCAAAGAGGTGCGCCGTGAGAGTCAAAGCCACAGATAAAAAATTTTGTGCACGCGCATTCTAATAGTAAAAAAGAATAACCTGTCATTATTTAATCGCCTTCACGTGTATTTTGCAACAGTGAAATAATATACTAAGCAGTCTAATTGTGGCAAGCAAGAGAAATGCAAACGGCGTTACATAAGCAAATGTTCAGCATTTGCAAATGAATATTTACTAAGCATTAAATGAAAACGAAGCAGACGAAAAGGCGTCCGTCAAACTTCCCAGTTTTCGTCTGAATATTTCATCAGCCATATACACAATTTATGTGCTAAGAGCTGCAGAGTAACTGTATTGAGAAGCGAAAATACTTGAACTGAACAACCCAGCATTCAATTAGTCAAAGAGAGAGGGAAAATATGTGCTCGGCAACAAAACAAAGGCAGAAATGTTTAAGTATACGAAGCAACAGCAACAGCAACAACAACATTAGCAGCAGCAGCAACAGCACCAGCAGCAGACAAAATATATCGGCGCTTAGCAACAAGACGAATTCACTGCGAATTGCGGCCATGTGTAACGAGTTTCTCTGATTCACCGTAGATCAAAGACGCAGCTATAGGCCAAAGATTGTAAATAAAATACGTAGACACGTACACATACCTATATAGATACATACAAATATATATAACGAGTAAAAGAGCAAGCTAATTGCCTAAAATAATAATAATAACAGTACAACAAAGTCAAATCGCGCAATCGAAAATGAACGCAAATACAGCGCCCAGCAGCCCTGGCAAATTCAATGTGTTTGCCCACGTCAAATACGAGCATCTGGTTGCCGGCGTCTCGGGCGGCGTTGCATCCACGCTCATCCTGCACCCACTGGATCTCATTAAAATACGCTTTGCTGGTGAGTACCCTGGGAGTGATTCAACGAATCGATCATTCCGTCTACGCGAGATACGCGCGTCTAGCACGTGACCGTAAACTGTAACTGTAGATTTGCGTCTGTCTCTTAAAATGCTTTGAATTGGTTCAGTGTTGCGCAGTTTGTTTGTTTTGCTTTTCGTTCAAGCTGTCTAGCTGCAAATACAGATTTTTTTGTTGCGCATGCCGGCAGATTTATATAAACGTAGGTATAAAAGTTTCCACTGTAATGTAAATTTAATTTTAGTTTGTCTGATAAACCTGCATTATATTTGTTAGCTGTCTGTTGTAATGTCATTATTATCTAGCCTATTCTATTTACGCCTAATTTAGCTTTTTTCCTAGTTAACTAGTTCAGCACTGCAAGCGATTGCATTGCTTGTGCTCTCTCTCTCTCTTTATTTCCGCCTTATCAACTGTTGTTTGTAGTTGCAGTTAAAAATTTCCACGAGCGTTAAATTAGTCTGGAAATGTTGTAACACAAGCAAATAAACTAGCGGCTGCACGTGGAGCTTAGAAAAACCTATAAATATGTAAATATATAAATAAACATTTGCCTGTTGATTGCGTTCCCATTTGGCAGTAATTTATTGACGTCTTGACATTTGCGAAAACAAAGTCCTCAGTTTTCTTCTTCTTTTTTTTCGCTGACCGATTATGCTACATTTAGTCGATTATCAGCGGGAATGTTAGGCGCAATCTACGCACGTACTAGAACAAGCTAGAAGCACACGCCCCCTTGCAGAATTTTTTTTGGCACTTATTGGGCACGATAATTGTTACAGTGAAGACTACCTTGACCGAAAAGTGTATTTGTGCTTAGCAAAGTTTAGTTTGGTGAACTTTGAACGTCGTGAGTCAGCATTCATCGATTATTTTAGTACACACAATAAAAACTTTTCATAGTTGTCCTCGTATAGAGTACATTGTTATTTCCGTATTTTGCTCGATTTTGTTCAATAATAAGGCATAACAATAACAACGGAAACAGGTTTCTGTTGTTGTTATTGTATTTTTTATTGTTTTAACATTTATTAACTCTGTTTTGCCAGTCGCTAAACTTTTCACTTAACCTGTTTACTATTACCAATCAGATTGGTAAATACATTTTTGCAAGTGTTATTTAAATACGTTAACAGTAGCAACAAATTTAGTTGTTTATGCGAAAAATCTTTAAGCGCGCAACAAAATAGCAAGAAAAGTAAATGAAGAATCAGATCCTTATGAAAACATATGCTGAGGCCATCTATGGAGTAGAATTTGCAACATTCACGCACATACATACATACATGCGATTGTATGACGCACCTAGCGGGGGAAAAACGAAGCCAAACGTCAGCAAATGGCGTAAACTTGTTTATCTACATTATACCGTTTGCTGGAGCAACAGCTGATGGGTATACTATGGTGCCACAAAGCTCTGACGAATGCTAGATAGGATGAGAGGCAGACAACTGCGACAGATTACATTTCTATAAATAAACATTAATTTATTATTTATCTATGTGCATATATGTTAATTTCGCACGCTAAAATATCTGGCACAGCATATGTTGCTGCTTACAGGGTAGCACATAGTCGACCTTTGCACTTCTGTCTCTTGCGTATTCGCTTGTTTATGGCTGCCGTTCAGCGTCATCACGTGACCAACATGTTGACTGTACGTTTTGTTAACGGCATATATCTACACTCATATATGAGTGTGTGCTCGTGCGTGTGTGTGTGTGTGTATCAGCAGAAGCAACTGGTTAAGTCAACTCTAAATGTTGTTACCAAGTGCGCAGTTCTGTCAGCGCTGCAAAACAAGTGAAATTCGTGTGCTCGATCAGAGTTGAAACATCAGCTGTTTTATATGTGTTTTATCAGTTTGTGCATGTGCAACAGTCAGTCGTAAGGCAATTGTTAATATCATATTCAATTTTAATTTCCCTTTCCTATGACTTTCAAATCAGCATATTTTGTGTCTGTTCCCCGCCAAAGTCAATCGCAAGTCAAACTAGCGAAAACAGCGCCATCTATTAATAGAATCTTTCGACAAGAGACGAGCCCCCAAAACGTCGCTGTTGTCAGGGCAGATCGAGACGTCAGCGCTTCTTATTAGCAGATTGTTATAAAGTTTTGTTTTTGTTTTTTATTTTTCTGTGTCCTATATGTAAGTATATATATGTATATTTAAATAATTATAGACTCATCGAAAGTCATGCTATAGCAACAGCCAGCCTATATGGCAACCACATTCTCCATTTTTCCAATTGGACTCGTTATCACATCCGTTGCAAACAATTAGCGCTATCTCTGTTGGCCGCGAAAACAACAAGTTGTTGTTGAGGTTGTTATTGACTGCTATTGTTGTTGTTGTTGTTGTTGCAGCCGGCCATTAGGCAATGCCCAAAAATCAACAACAAGAATAGCTTCAGTTGGTTGTACAGTCGGCCAAAAAGCATTGCCAAAAGACTGAACAGCTGTGAAGAAATTTCTACCTAGTTGATTGACTGATTGAGCACTGCTCTATGAATCACTCAACCTCAACATTTCTTGCCTAGTTGATTGACCTAGGGAGTATCCATACACAAAGCTTGTTGCTGTTTGCTGAAGAATACACGGCTAAAACTTTCATTCGTTGACAGTTTAATTCTTTGCTAATCAAACTTAATCAAACATTGCAAAAGTTTTGCAACTCATTTTTCATTTGATAAACAAGAAGTACCTAAACTTGATTACTCTATTAGTCACCTGTGCACGCGTCTAGAGGCGGTCTAGTGATTTGAAGGTTAATGTCTAGACTTTAAAGTAAACAGTGCGTAAACATATAAATTTTATCATTTACGATGCTCGCTTGTGTTTTCAATTACAGTCAATGACGGGCGCACAGCGGCAGTGCCCCAATATCGTGGATTGGGCAGCGCATTTACCACCATCTTTCGCCAGGAGGGCTTCCGTGGACTCTACAAGGGCGTTACACCCAATGTCTGGGGCTCCGGCTCCTCGTGGGGTCTGTACTTCATGTTGTAAGTAACTACAAAGCGATAGTAGATTGGCATTTGATTAACAGTTCTCTTCTACCCTCTACCCTCTACCCTATAGCTACAACACCATCAAGACGTTTATTCAGGGTGGCAATACGACGATGTCGCTAGGCCCCACAATGCACATGCTGGCAGCCGCCGAGTCGGGCGCCCTCACTTTGTTGCTTACAAATCCCATTTGGGTGGTGAAGACGCGTCTTTGTCTGCAATACGATGCGGCGGGCAGCGCTGAATACCGAGGCATGGTTCACGCTCTCGCAGAGATCTACAGGACGGAGGGAATACGCGGACTCTACCGGGGCTTTGTGCCCGGCATGCTTGGCGTCTCGCATGGTGCCATTCAGTTCATGACCTACGAGGAGATGAAGAACGCATATAATGAATACCGCAAGCTGCCCATCGACACGAAATTGGTGTGTAGCATCACATGATCCAGCTGTTGCCATCTAGATATATAGCTATAGATGTCGTATATAGCGCGTGCGATAACATGTGTATATATATGTATATATAGTATAGCTATATATGCCTATTTGGCAGCTGTTCAATTTCATTTTATTTTCAACTCAATTCTACATCCCTCTCTCTTTCTCTCGCCGTCTCCCTCTAATAGGCAACGAGTGAATATTTGGCATTTGCGGCGATGTCGAAGCTGATTGCAGCAGCAGCCACATATCCATATCAGGTGGTTCGTGCCCGTCTACAAGATCATCACCATCGTTATAACGGCACCTGGGACTGCATCAAACAGACTTGGAGGTACGAACGCATGCGCGGTTTCTATAAGGGACTCGTGCCGTACTTGGTCCACGTAACGCCCAACATTTGCATGGTTATGCTGATATGGGAGAAGCTGACCAGCTAGGCGTATTAGAGTATTCAACTAGTTCAACTAGATTATAGCTACATATAAGATATACCCATACATATATATCTATAAATATATATGAATATGTACACGAATCTACGCGGAAGTTTAGCTGCATGACAAAGCGCAACATTATTTTGTATTATTGTTTCATGATTTTGTTTTACACATGTAACTAATTATAGTTAGTATATATAATTTGAGATTAAGTTAATTCCATAGCTAGAATTGATACTATATGATTTTTGTCATATACTATATAATTCGATAAGTAAACTTGTGCTAAATGAAAAGAAAATATGTGAAATGTAATTTCAAAGGATTTGCACAAATTTTAGTTTATAGTTTAGTTAAATTATTTATTTACATACATTGTTCTAGTTAGGCGTAACTAATTTTCGTTTTGGCAAAAAGATTCTTCATAATTTTACACTTTTTTTATCGAAAAAAAAAAAAACAAACTAAATAAATTTAGCCTTACATTTAAAATGTGAACCGAACAAAAGAAACACAAAAGAAACTTTCATGAAAAGAACACTAGCAAAAGATATATAGAAATCACAATATCTTAAAAAATTAAAATGCTAAGAAACTACATAAAAGAAAATATGTTTCCACAAGCTCTCAACACGAGTTGTTTTTTTTATTTCGCCTTCAGCCCCAGTAAGTAAGTAGTATACGAATATATATATCTTTACTTATGTGTATGTCTATATGAAGTTCTTTTTGATTGTGCAGAATCTCTTTGCTAAACTGAAATGAATTGCATTGCATTGTAAGTAGTTAAGATGCGTGATGACAAGTTACTTATATTCTTATTGCTTGATTCTCATTGCAGGTTCGAGGGTGTGGTGGGCTTCTACAAGGGTTTGAAGGCGAGTCTGATAAGGGTTGTGCCCGCCTGCATGATCACGTTCTTGGTTTATGAGAACGTCTCGCATTTCATGCTGGCTCGAAGCAAACGCCTCCAGGAGATTGACAATATCAAAAAAGAACCTGCTTAAGCTGTGCCTTTTTTATACCTTTGTTTTAATTTAGTACGAAATCTTTCGATACGTTGATCGATGGTCACAATTAGTTGTTAATTTGTTAATATTATTTATAGATTGATATACCTTAATTGTTATTGAGTAGAGTCTGTGTGTAAACGATATTCCTACGCAAAAGCATTATATATAGGAAATCGAAGAAGCTTTATATATATTTTCTAAGTCAAAGTACCAGTGGAGAGCCTCTCTTTAAAACATAGCTGTGTATTAATTTTAAGAAATATAATTTGTAATAACACCACATATATATATATGTTTTTTATGTACAATATGTCTGACTTATTTTAAATGTAATTGACAAACGTTCAATTCGAATTTCAAATTGGCGCGCTGTAGATGAACGAAGCTAACGTTAACCGTTTCAACCATTCGTTCAATTACTGCTTGTATTTTAGGACAACTAATATTTGTTCCAATAGTCAATCAATAAATATATATATATCAGTAATATCGCAACCTATTTAGTTTTTTTTTTTAATACATTTTCATGTTGATTACATGCCTGAGAATTTAATTTAAGAGTTGTCATCCATTCCATTAACATAGTCCATAATTGTCAGCACTCGGTTTGAATGTGTCAAATTGGCGCGCTAAAGCAAACCCGTTTCTTGCTTAACCGTTTCAGCTATTCAATGAACCGTTTCGCTCAGCTGAAGCTCTCACCGCATTTCGTTCAGTTGATAGCTGAATGTGACAGCGTGCGGATGTGCTGCGCTTATTTCTGTGAGCTTGTCTGAAGTACAGCGAGCGTCTTTTTTGAGTCTCTCTTTTTTCGTACGTGTGTGAATTTAATTTTCGTGATATTAAATTAACGCCAAGGAGGAATAATAATAACAACAACAACAACATCATCGATAAGACAATAATTAAAATGAAAATAAAGGCTTATGCAACTGGCCGTGTGAATGTTAAATGTTTTAATGCTTAATTGAGTGCTCCATTTCTTGGCTCGAAAAACCAGTTTGCAATTTGTTTACTTAACTTGACATTTGGCGATAGTCAAAAAGTGCAGCAATTGCAGCCAGCGAGTTCAATAAACCCCATAGTGTCTGAAAGAGAGATAACCTGACCAACAAAATTTTTGCATTGTTAAAAATAAATTGTAATTTTGATAAGTGCGCGCCGAAAGTTCAAGTGCAGCCGCATTTATTACCGTTGGAACAAAAGCGAAGAGAGCAAGAGTGTCAAAGGAAGAGGAAGAGAGACAAGAGTGAGGAGCGGAGCAGTGGAACTTTTTTCGACAACCACATGTTGCTGAGCCGTTAGAGTTGACAAGGCGAAATAAACGGTACAAACAAAACAGAACAAATAGAGACAGCACGCATGTGTGTATGCATTTGCAAGTGTATGTTAATGTGTAGTGTGTGAGTAGATAAAGAGCGTGCGAATGACCTTGACTGGCGGAGCAGACAAGTGAAGTGATAAAGCAAGAACAGCAACAAATAGAGTTATTTGTCAAAGTCTAAAGAGCAATAACACGCAACTCACCCCCACATAAACCCCATTGCCACTGCATGGCAACTAGCGTTATTCGCTGCAGCGTTGTCTCATCCTCAGCCGGACGCCGCAACCTCTGCGACTCTCAGCCGGAGCTCGGCTCTGTCGGATCCAACTCCAAATCCAAGTCGTTCAGTTATCTGAGCAGCAGCAACAATAATAGCAACAACAACAACAATAACAACACCACCAACACTAACACTAGCAACAGTAGCTGTGCCTGCGTACGTTGCCATCTCGCTTACGACTGCTACAGCTCTAAGAAGGACCAGTCGCCGGTTGAATACAAGCATCAGCCGCAAAGCGTCGTCTCTTTGGGCATACTTAGTGCCAAGGAATCGCCGTTATTAGCACGCCACCAGCCAGCACTCCAATTGGAATCGAAGCAGCAGCTGAGCAACTTGAACTTTTCGCTGCGCAGCGCGACGCCAGCGTACGCGTCGCCTAAACCACAAATCGATCTCAACGCCGTTGAGGCGCTTAGCACAGCGGATATGCCGGCGGCACGCATCAACAACATGGATATCAATCGGAATAACGGTTATCTGTACAATGGGGTGAGTAGAGTACATGCAATCTCAGTGAGCGAGGGCACTTTAAGAAGTTGACTAAAGTATGCAGGCAGAGCAACTGGTATATATTGGTGAATATGCCGACCCTCGTTATATTTTTATGTTGCATAAAACCCGAAAAAAGTTTATAAATTCCGCTCGCACTGTCCAAGTTTTGCAATAAAAGTCATGTCAGCTACATATGTATTTGCACATGTATTTATCGTACTCGCCTCCCTAGCCCACCAGGCAACAACAACAATAGCCATTGCTGTAACAGCAGTTGTTGTTTTTGTTGTTAATATATTCAAAGCTCTCGTGTATAACACAATCAATAAGCTTAAATCACGCTCAGCTCGGCGAAAAAAGAGCTGAAAATGCTAATTCGAATTCGAGCTCGAATTGTAATTGGAATTGGAACTGTGGCGATGAGGAATGCAACGAAAGCGGAGAACTGGAAGTGTTTACTTGTTATTTGACTGCGCTTGACTTTCCAATTAGAATCGCGCGCGCGAGAGAGAGAGAGAGTGAGGGAGAGAAAGAGCATATGAGCTTGGCTGGGTATTCGAATTTTATTATAGAGCATTTCAGACTTAGCTAATATGAAATATATGTACATATTTATATGTTAAAAATTCCAATAATATATTTATAATGAAATTCACTTTAATGTCTGATTGGAAATGTAAATAGAATCAACTGTGATGGTGAGTAACAAGATAATTATTTTGCAAGCATTTGATTCCAATTAGAATGAAAAACTCAAATTTGAATGCTAAATGGAATCCGGCTGGAAGTATTAAATTACTGTGAAGTCTATTTGTTCTTGCATAAAATTGTCTTAAAATATTTTGCCTGTCGGCAAGGGTATTTACTCGTCGTCATCTCTATATATAGCTTCTTCAATATTCCATTTTCAAGATCATGTCAAGTTTTGTTCAGCCTATAAACAAAAAACTGCCAAGAAAAAAGGGAATAAAGAAAAAAAAAAAAAACAATTCGAATCTTATGTCACAGTAATTTCCACAGAGTTAAGAGGAAATGAAATCTAAATTGTTGACCAAATAAACACGACGATAAAGGCGAAGTGGTCAAAGGAGGAGGGAGGCGAGCTGGGCGGGGCTGTCTGCCACAAATGCCGCTGCTGCGAGCCGTGGCACGTGTTATGGGCAATGGAATTTCACTCTCGATATGCGATATACTATATACATATACAATATATGTATGTATATAGGCAAGCCGGTCGAGGTTGGCTGCCCAGCAAATCGAGTGTGCGTGTGTGTGGGTGTGTCTGGGCGATACTTAAACGATTGCTAGTTAGATATATGCATTGTCTTATTGGACTCAACTTGGAACATATTTCGCAGCGTTTCACGTCACGATTTTAAGGTCAGTGGGGTAGGGGAATGTAATGGAATGGAATGGGAACTACATTAAAGAGCCCACGTCTTAATTAAAGACAAGCATTAATAATTGTTGGCATTTTTTCATGTGAATCATGGCTGCATTTAGGCTTTGGCTTCTCCTCAATCTAATCAGTGCTCACCTTTTTGTGTTTCTTTCGGGTGACTCGACATTTGCAGAGATAAGATATCAATATCAATATCGATGCCCGCGCAGAGTATCAAATATGCGCCGCGTGTACAAAAATGTTCATTGAGTAATCGCTTAGAATAAAACATCTCTCGCGCTCTCCCTCTCTCTGTCTCTCTTTGTATATATTCCATATTCCATTACTATATATACTTATTAATTTGCATAATCAGCTTTTGCGCATCGTTGCAAGCTGCAGGCCTGAAGCCAATGCACTTTGTGACTGTCTTGTTGTTGTTGTTGTGTGCTGCTGTTGCTGGTGCAACTAAACAACATTTTTTAGTTTCACATTTTATTTTTCATCTGCCACACGCAAGTTACAGACAGAGATATTCATGTGCCTATAATATATTGTATTTATATCTCTATGATTTATTATCTATTATGTGAGCACATACCAAAGACAGAGCAAGGTCGAGTTTTTAAAAGTCTCTCGCAGCTATAGATAGCTGTGGCAGTTGCAACATTGAGATACATTCATAAAAACAAATACAGCTGCAGAGACAGCTACAATAGTTGATGAACAGACAACAGCAACGTATGTATGTATGTATATATAGATACATACATACATAGATACAGATTCAGATGAAGATCAAATTTATATACAGGCATATATTTAGGGAGAAACAGCGAAAGAGAGCAATTACTGATGGAGATTTTCCTATATAGACGAAGAGATAAATACAGAAATAGATATAATTAGAAGCATATTAAGTCCAAATACAGACACAGACATATTTTAATATCCATATATATTCCATATGATAGTTAGGTACTTTTCCATCATGAAATATAATTAGATTTTGCCATTTTTATTTCCCGCTAATTTTCCTAATTTTTCCTTCCATCTCTAATATTCCGATGCATCATAATGTATGTATGTATGTATGTATGTATGTATATGTATATAAAATATATTTCATATTTAATACTCAATTCTAGCTTCATTTTAATTAAATAATTAACACGAATTTGCTGCAATGAAAAGCGGAATTTCCCACGAGAAAAGTCTCGCATAAGCATTGCATATTTTTGCCACCTTCTGCCAAAGTGTTGCATACTTTCGTGGCAACATGAAAAGCCCCATTCATGAAAATTCCGATTCCATTTCCGTTTTGGGGCAAATTGAGGGGCGTGCTCGCACAAATTCAGTTGAAGCATTTGTCTGAGCCACGCCCACATAAATATGACGTCTACAGGGCAGCTAATGCCGTGCAGCATGCAAAACCGAAGTACAGTGGAACAATGTTAAGACGAACCTGTATATTTTAGTTAAATAATTTTAAAAGAACTAAATTTATATTTTATTAATTTTTTAATTTAAAAAAATATCTGGTTTTTCATATAAAATTTATACAATTTCAATAAATATTTGGTTTCGCCTTTTGTATGAAATGTGTGAGCTCATTAGCGAAGTTCTACTGTAGTTCCCATATGGATCTGTTCAGACTGCTTGCCAAAGGACCAACTGGTTCCATTATATCCTGATT